CCTCATCCATTATGATGATGACGACTACTATAATTATCATCACTATTCTTATTAGCGCTTGTTCTAAGACTCCGCAAGAGGACTGGCACTTTTCAGCAACTTTGAAGGCAATCAAGCATAAATGACAATGACAAGGGATGCACTATCGGTATATCGGTGCCTCTGTGTTCCATGCATTTCCCCCAAAACAAGGGGAAGTGTCACGTTATACTTCCATGCTTTCTATAGGTGGACTGCAAAGGTGTAGAAGCTTGAGAAGAAACGGGTGCATCTCTGCAAAAAAAGAACACCTCAAGGTGAGGTGTCCAAGAGCCCACACCGACATCCGCGTCGCGTCATTACCCCGCGACCCTCACATTATAGTCCCTCTTAAGTAGCCATATTCTATCCGTAAACCTGGGCCTCTAAACCCTAAACCCTATAATATGCCCAAAGCCGAAAGCCATATTCTATCCCAGAACCCTTTAAACCCAAAGCCATATTCTCTCTACTTAACGGGGACTACACCTCCCAGGTTCCCGCAAGTGCCTCCAACTTAACGTGGCCAATTGAGGGGGAACTAAGGGGGGGGTTATGTAGGGATAATGGAAGAGAACATGGAACCCCCTAGGTCTCTTTAAAGGGATATCTAGGGTTATATGGAGGTTATATAAGGGTTATGTAGAGGGATACTAATCTCACAGCTCCATGAGGCTTGAGCCATGAAGGCAAAAGAGCGCAACGGCCTGCAAAATACCAAGGACCTTCAAAGGACCCAAGCCAACATGGGCCCTGAACCCTAAACCCTAAACCAAAAAAATCAAAGTCAGCCCAAACTTCAACAGACAAGCACACTGGAGGCTACTCCGGTTTGGGCATCCATCTGAAAAATGTCGTCAAGTCGGCAATTCACTACATTGAAGCTGGGGCGAGTCCAGGAACATGTTTTGTTTATGGAGACTTGTGAGTTTTCACAAGGTTGTGGGTTTTCAGAAGGCATTATTGATGTTTGGGTAGTCTAGCAAGTAATTACCTTTTTCAACGGATTGCGAATTCGAGGAATATCCATTTAGAGTCTGATTTTGTTCCGCCTTACCATTTGCTATGCTTTGCACCTAGTTCTGTTTGAACCCTAAGCCCTGAATCTTGCACAATACCTTTGCTGACCGACTTGCCACCACGACCCCCTTATGTAGGGGTTATATAGGGATAATGGAAAAGAAAATGGAGACCTTAGGTCCCTTTAAAGGGATCTATATATATATATAGAGGGTTACATAGGGTTTATATAGGGGTTATATCGGGATAATGGAAAAATCGAAGCTACTGTTTAGGGTTGAGGAGTTCCCCCCCAGGTTGAAACCGGGATTCCTCCTGATAGGAATGGCAGCAATAATAGCAGTAACAGTCTGAATCTTAATAGTCATCGTGAACAGTATTGGTAGTTCCCAAAATTAGGGTCCCATTTTGGTACCCATAAGAACATAAACTATAACCAAAAGGGGCCCATACTTTGTGAACTGCCCACCCTAAACCCTAACCCCTAAACCCCTAAACCCTAAACGCCTAAACCCTTTCTGTCAGCAAAGGAGAGCTCAGAGTATGCCATGCTAGCGTACATGGCCTTTCGGCTTTCATTGCCTTGGAGTTGTTGATCGGTTTTTAGGGTTTAGGGAACGTGAGTGAACGTAGGCTTACAGGTACTGTAAGGTTCAGGTTAGGATTTGTGAGCTCCAGCAAGCAGATGTATATTGAGCTACTGTCAACATTGGCCTTTTTCAGGGACCCTTCATTGTGGACACAGGGGTCCTTCTTGTAGTTTAGTATAGTCTCTAATATAGTCCCTAATAAGGAACCTAAGGAACCCATGTTCTTTAAATTGTGTGGGAAATAATGTAGCTCATATGAAGTTCTGCATGTTGCCTCCCTAGTTAGGGCAAGGTGTCTTCATCTCCAAGTAGTCACAGTTATCAGGAGTCATCTTTTAAGCAAATCTGCTAGCTAGGTGTAGGGGGATCATGTTGTAAGTTTATGATATCTTGTGGTGTCTACTTGAGCTACTCGGTTTGAACTAGAGGTTGAAGGATCATACTCCCCGGTACTCCCTCATACTCCTTGAGCTTTCTGGGGCTATTTAGTCCTTTTCCTACAAACTACATACACCCAAAGTCCTATAGAAGCCCCAAATCCTGAATCAGGTACAGCCATAAACCTCATAGAAACCTCAAGTGAGCCCTACATAGACTCCGACCCAGCCTCGTTACTACATCAAGGAGAGAAGTCCAGTAAAAGCTTTTCTCTGGGGTTCAGAGCCTGAGGATTATGGGAGCATCAGGGGGAACTAGGGCTTAGGAGGGTTTCGAACCCTAAGCCCTAAACCCTAGACCCTGTTCAGGTTTGAGAGGTCCTGGGTTGGAAATGTTCAGGGCTTACTATTTAGGGATTCTTTAGGTGGACCCCCCACCCTGTAATAGTGACTATAACGGATATTAAGAATTATGTTGAGGTCTTCTTATATTCCTTTTATACCACTATTACAGGGTGGGGGGCCTGGTAGGGACTTAGAAGGAGCAGGCCAGGCTTCTGGGCAGAGGTAGGGACCAGGAAGCTGCATACGGGAAGCTCCTCTGAGTCAGACCAGCCCACGCCCTAAACCCTGGACCCTAAGCCTCCGCCCTAAACACTAAGACCTAAACCCTAAACCCTAACCCTAAACCTTCACCCTAAACCCCAAACCCTTACAGTGTATTCTGGGATCCTTCCACTCCTGCCTTCGGGCTCTCATACTCGTTTTGGATCGTAAGATTTGTGAGGAACAGCTATTTTGAGGGCACTCCATATTGCACATTCTGGGTGGGACCCTTCAATCTGTTGGGGAGATTGGCTTCTGAAGCTTCCGAATTCTTACAGATTACCCTTAAACTTAAACCATCTTAAACCTTCCATGGCATACACCGCATAAATATCACTTTAGTATGGCAGCCCACAAAGAACGCTCTAGTAGTGCCTTGTCATCCCCGATAGAACTACTGTTAAGGAGTCTAGACTATGGCTCATATAGGCCCAAGCCCCTCAGTGCGTCGTAGGTCTTCACGGTCTTCGGGGTCGTAGCCCTGGTACCGACAACCGCCATGGAGTTCTCCGGAGGCCATGCGCTCAGGTAGACTTAGATAATTACCAATACTACCCCAAGAATGGAGAAGCAGATAGCAAAGAAAATGGAAAAAGGCATGGAGACTGGGCTTTTGTAGGCTTATGGGGTTTATAATCCCCTCTACAAATGGGGTTATGTAGGGTTATATAGGGCATTTATAGGGAACAAGATGTGAACAAGTTTGGGGATTATGGTCTGCACGTGGACTTTTGAGGCCCCCTTGAGAGCTACAGTACCATGTAACATGGCACAGTAGGGTTTATTTACTTAGAGCCTGGGATAGAAGTCATAGGGTTTAGGGTTTAGGGTTATAGATAAGCAGCTTAAGCATCTTGAATGTCATCCACAGGCTGGATTATGATACCGCGTCATGGTAGGATTCCCCGCCGTGATAGGATTCCTGTTTGCGCCAAGTCCTCAAATTTCAGAGTCAACATTTTAAAAAGGGTTCTGTAGGGTTTCCGTTTTATTTTCCATTATCCCTATAACCCCAATATAACCCCATCATAACCCTAGTATTACCCCAATGGGTACCTATATCCCCTGCAATGCAGACGTTGGCATGTGAGCCTCAAGGCTTGTTGCAACCGCCTTCTGTGTGGCTGGAGTGCAGGTCACGTCAAGGCGTCACGCACATCTCAGGAGTCAGTCTAATGATGAACATGCACCCAGTCAAACAGTTTCTGAGCGGTTGCTTCCATCTTACTTTCCATCTTCTTTTCCACATGATTCCCCGTTAAGTCAGCTTAAGCCCTTAAACCGTAAACTGAACCCTAAGCCCTAAGCCCTGTAGCCCGGCTTCATAGGTTTCCTCTTTGTGCCAACCTACGGTCTCCTGGGCACACTTCTCTTGACCTGCGCACCTCGGAGAGGTTGAAGGGTTGAATGGTTCGGTTTTGTTGAGGTTTTAGGGGTTAGGGTTTTGGAGATCAAGCGTACGGAAGTGTTAAGGGTTGGCGTGTGTCTCTATATGGTAGTTTCCATAAGTCCCGACCCAGTACATGGTGACCATGAGGGAGTCTGGTGTTGATATTGCAATGCTCTTTCCTAAAATACCATTGTACCCGGGGGTACATAGTCGTCATGGAAACCACTCGAATCTCCTCATAATGATACACGGCAATACTTACTTCTCCGCACAACGGGTTCCCCTTCAAAAGTCACTATATTGCCTCGTCTTCCAACATGACGAGAGGGGGGGGGCACTGGCCGTGGCGTCCATCACTTTTACACTGTTTTGTGCGGAGCCCTTCTGTGAAGCGAAGCTTCCACCATTGCTGTGAGAGAGTTTTGAGCAGAAAAGACAGCCTTTTTGGTAAGAGACTTCCAACATCACGACATTCCCTGCCATGCTCAAACACTCTACAGTCCACCCTGGCATCGGGATTTCTAGAAGCAATTTAGCATAACACATTTCCTCACTTCATGCCATGTCCTCTAAGTTGGCTTCCTAAGAAGTAACAGAAATTGCGACGCATTGCAACTCATTGTCTATGCCGATCGCCGGTGCCAAGGAAGCACATGCTTAAGCCCGAAGCCCATGAGATATTCCTTAAGCCCTGGACATTTCTCTGGAATTGAGCCTACATGAGCCTACATGGGCCTACAATTATGAGCTGCCGGGCCCCTGAAGCGGTGATTTGCATAAGAAATCTTTGAACACCATTCCACACTTCAGTTGTATAATGCTGCAATACAGTCCATTTGCTAATCTCCCGACCCTGATTTAAAGAACCCCACAACCTGGCCACCTAATGATTAATGCATTGGGAAGTAATATTTGTTGTGCAACAGGGATGGAGGCGGTGGGGGTATTCCATAACTGACGGATGAGATTGGTTTCTCCTGGCCCTAGATGACGGCTAAGGCCGCCAAGTTTGTGGCAAACGTCATCGCTGTGACCTTGGCGAAATACGTCATGCGCGACTGGGTGCGGAGGAACTTCGTGGCTCCATGGATGCAGGTCTTCTTTGGAGCCTGATTTCGGGTGCGGGGGTTATAGGGGTTTTACAGCCTGGAGAAGGGCTTTGAGTTTGAGTCCATTTTGGGGACTTAGATTTTGGGCTTAGGGATTTGGATTTGTCAATTTACAAGTTAGAGCTCAGGTAATCGGGCTGCGGTTGATTCGGTTTTCTAGCATCCAACAACACCTAGAAGAAGGATACTTCGTGCTTGGAAAATCACTGCGGGAAGTATGTTGACCGTGGTTTGGGCACATGTGAGGCTCCTCCAGCACAATCTCCGTCTCAGATCCGAACTTTGCGGGGGTCACCATGCCTAAATCCCCAATTAAGGTGTTTTACCGATGTTTGAACTCATTGCTGTAGGAACAGAAAGACCTATCTAGGCGTAAGCTTTCTGGGGATCTCCATGTTTTGGGAGGTTGGTAACAAGGCTTTAAGTGGTAATGTCCCGGCATCAGAGGATGATGTCCTGGCGCGCAGTGAAGTCCAAACTGTGGGTCTTGTGATTGGAAAAATCATTAGAGACAAAACGCTAGCAATAGCCAAAAGGTCCAAACCTTCGAACAAAATGATAAAAGACAATGAGAGGATGACCACAGTTCCAGTCAAACAAAATTCATCAGCAAGCTTCTGACCCCCACCCCGAGTGTGAGCAAAACTGGGTCTATTTGGAAGCTGCTTATAGTCAGTTTCAATAAGGTTTCGGTACCACTGTCCGTTACAGAAGCTTATCCCTAAACTCTTAACCCTAAACCCTAATCCCATTAACATGGGGCTTCCAAATAGACCCACTTTGGGTTTGCACAAGGCTGCAGCCGGCTATTGACCAATCCCAGAAGTTACACCCCCAAAGTCAGCCCTCCCGTTGTGACGCCTTGGTTACTTCCTTATGAGCATTATCCCCTCACAGTCCAGGTAGAACTTTATCATCGTACACTTCAAGCACATATTACCCAATCCCTATATCATCCCAGTTTTGATTTCATTTGCCAGTTTCGTTTCCATTTGATTCTCAATTATAGGCGGATAGTACCCTAAACCCTAAACCCTAGCACATCCTTACATTGTACCCGCATTGAGCTTTTGATCTGAGGATCGGTCAGAGCTTCTCCAACTTGTATCTGAAGCAGCAAAGGACTTGTGTCTCAAAGTTGTGGTTCTTTTGGGTCTTTCAGAACCCTGGACTTATGAGTTTGGGGGTTGATACAGGCGAATTTAAGTAGATATTCGGTGTACCGATACAGCGTTGTACCGATTCAGCGTTGCCCCAACATCGGGGGGAGACATGGTGCGCTGAATGAGAGTGCTGGCTTTCATGTTCCGGTCAAGGGTTTTTGCCGGGTTGCCTGGAAGGAACACAAAAAATGAAACACGAAACGCGCCCTGAACCAAAAGCCCCAAACCTTGAACTCAAACCTGACCCCATAAACCTCAAACCTCAAGCGTGTGCTTTTCAGCTGCTTTCCAAAAGCAGCCACATCAATGTATCCAACAGATGTCATGTCAGAGCCGTCTTTAGATAGGCTAATTTCAAAAGTGGCGGGACGAATACAGTATTCAATGACAGTTTCCAAGATGAGAGTACATTTTCGAGCCCCAAAGTGCAAGGTGTCGTAAGAAAATTGGTGCGCCAAACGGCCATGGCTCTTCAAAGAAAGGGGACCCATTGACTTCTGGGGCGGAAGGGAAAGTCTTTAATATTGGAGTTTCGGGACATGGGTGCACTTTTGGGCACTTTAGATTGTTTGAAGATCACCAAGGGATTCAGGGGGCTTGTATGTAGAATTCTATTGGTTAACTTTGAGAAGCTCTCATATTTAGGATGTAGAAGCCGGGTGGACCCTCATGTTCATGTGGTCCTGTGTATCCTAGAACAAGGCTTACGCCCAACCTGGCATGGAAAGGGGGTCACCTACCCACCGGAGAAATTCAAGACTTGATTAAGGTCTAAGCCCCAAACCTAAGTATCATTTGTGTAGGTGTAAATGTGAAGACACGTTTTCC